AGTGACAGATGACCATCCAGCCTCTGTTTAAAAACAGTCTCTAAAGGAGGAGACTCCCTCACTCTCTGAGGCGATGTGTTCCACTGTCCGAACAGCTCTTACCATCAGGAAGTTCTTCCTAATGTTAGCAATAGCAGCTTCATTTATATACCGCTTTATACTGCGCTATGCAGTCTCTAAGCGGCTTGCAACTGTAAGCTAATTGCCCCCAACAAGAGGGGTACTCATTTTAGCAACCTTGGAAGGATGCAAGTCTGTTGAGGTGGAATCTCTTTTCCTGTAGTTTGCATCCATTGTTCTGTGTCCTATTCTCTGGAGCAACATTAAAAAAGCTTCCTTGTATTCTTCCGTACAGATTGCCAGAGCCAAGAGATGTACCAAAAAAGCAAATAGCATTGGGTTCAGGGCAGGCGACAGGGAGTTACCTTTCGTTTTGTTATTGTGTGCCTTCATTTAGTTTCTGACTTATGGCAACCCTAAGGTGACCCTATAGTGGGATTTTTCTCAGCAAGATTTGTTCAGAGGAGGTTTGCCATTGCCTTTCCCTGAGGATGAGAGAGTATGACTTGCCCAAGGTCACCCAGGGGGGTTCCATGACTGTGTGGGGATTCGAACACTGGTCTTCAGAGTCGTAGTCCAACACTCAAACCAGAACACCACACTGGCTCTATTTCCTTTCATTTACCTTCCTATGTACCCTGCCTCTATACACTTAGGGCCCTCCAACAGACTTCAGTTGCCCTAACAATGGGAGCAATGCCCTAAGTGAAGACACAGGAAAGGACCTTCTCTGCTGTAGCTCCCCATTTGTGAAATGCTCTCCCTTTGCAGGCCCAATTGACACCAACATTGACTTTATTTTTGTGCCAAGTTAGAACATGGCCTTCTACTAAAGCCTTTACTAGCAGATGCCTTCCAACATGTACCTCTACCTAGTTTTAAACCAGGGGTAGGCAACCTTTTTGAGCCGGGGGCCGGGTTGCTGTCCCTCAGAGAATTGGGGGGCTGAAGCGCCAAAAATAAATAAATAAATAAATAAATATAAAAATAATTTTAAAAAATTTTTTTAAATATGCATGCACACTCTCTCAGCCCCAGAAAAGCCATGGCAAAACCCCTGTGGAGATTTTGCCAAGAAAACCCCAAGAATAAGTAATAACAACAATAATCAATATCATCATGGCGGGCGGCGGCGGCGGCAGGACCGGCCTGGGGCTGGTCCAAAGGCCTCAGGGGGCCGCATCTGGCCCCCGGGCCTTCGGTTGCCTACCCCTGTTTTAAACTGTTAACCTTTTCAGCCTTTTTAAAATTTGCTCAGAGCTTTAGTATGCTTTTAGGCTGCATCTGCACTACAGAATTAATGCAGTTTGACTTTAAATGTCACAGCTCCATCTTATGGAGTCTGGATTTGTAGATTGTTGTGGCACCAGAGCTATCTGACAGAAAAGGCTAAATATTAAGAATCCCAAAATTCCACAGTATTGAGCCATGACAATTAAAGCAGTGTCAAACTGCATTAATTCTGCAGTACAGATGCAGCCAGAGAAGGCTGAATATCTCATAAAACTACAAATTTATTTATTTATTTATTTCAAGGATTTATATCTCACCTTTCTCCGATAATGGGATTCAAAACAGAATTCCGTATCATGGAGCCATTGCAGTTAAAGCGGTGTCAAATTGCATTATTTCTGCAGTGCAGCTGCTACCAGGGAAGGCTTGCCAAGAACATTCCAAGTAAACCGTGTGATAGGTTCACCATAAATCAGAAACAACTTGAAGGTACACAATAACAACAACATATTGAAAGCCACCTAAGTTACTTCATCATAATTAAATGAATTATATATACGGTAACTTGGATTGGCATAAAAGAATCATAGTTCACATATTAAAAATTCACGTTTTTTTCAGAAGATAATTGTACATGGATATAGATATAAATGAATTGTACATGTAGGTAGATATAAATGGAATTGCAAGGTCCTGAACTGTTCCCATTCTTCTAAAATTTCCATTTTTCCCTTGCCTTACTTACCTTGGATGTATCTACACCATAGAAATAATGCAGTTTGACATGCTTTTAAGTGCTGCAGCACCATCCTATGGAATCCTGGCATTTGCAGTTTGACAACGTCTTTAGCCTTCTCTGCCCAAGAGTGCTGGGACCTCACAAAACTACAGATCCCAGGATTCTGTACGATGGAGCCGTTGGCAGTTAAAGTGATCTCAAAGTACAGTGTACATGCACCATTGGAGGGCTGCAATGTTCCCACCCTGATTTTAAAGTTAAATGAAGAGAAGATGAAACATGTATATTAGTCAAGCGCCTCCCAAAATTACAAATCCCAGGATTTTGTAGGATGGACCTATGGCAGTTAAAGCAATGTCAGACGGCATCATTTCTGCAATGTAGATGTACCCCTTGTTTCCTTTGGTGTTGTTCTGGTCTGCAGCTGCTGCAGGTTTTGCTACTGATCCCTTTCTGTTTTCTGCAATGTTTGCCCTAGGTGCCCTGAAGAGAGCTTTGTCAGCAGAGCAGGTCCGAGAAGATCTTATCACCCTGGGTAGGTCCCTTTTTGTGTGCCTCCGGTCATTCTGGGAAGTGTCTGCCGTCCATTCTCCTGTTTAACTGTGTTGAATTTCTACTGCAGGGCTGAGCGAGGACAAGGCCAGCTATTTCGAAGAGCAGGTACGAGTTGCATTCCTTTCACTCTGGAATTTGGGACTGCAGTCAGGCAGGCATTTTCTCAGCAGCCCAGTCACTCAAAAAGACGCTTGATTTGTGCATGCATTAATTTGTTCAGATTTTCCCCACTTTTATTGTGGCAGAGATCCCAAGACATCTTACAATGATTAAAATGTAAGATTAAAATGCAGATTAAAATGAAACAAATCCAAAAAATATAGTTTGTTGCTGTTGTGTGCCTTCCAAGTCATTTCCAACTTATGGCAACCTTAAGGGGAACCTATCATGGGGTTTTCTTGGCAAGGTTTGTCCAGAGGAGGTTTGTCATTGCTTTCCCCTGAGGCTGCGAGAGTATAACTTGCCCAAGGTCACCCAGTGGGTTTTCATGGCTGAGATGAGAATCAAACTCTGGTCTCTAGAATCATAATCCAACACTCAAATTGCTATAGCAACAGAATTTACATTTCTATATCACTTAAGAGTGAACTCAGCACAGCTGTGCCACACTGGCTCGCAAGATATATGCATAATACATAGTAAGATATTTCATAATGTATATGCAGATATTCCAACATCCAAAAAATTCTGGAATCCCAAAGACTTCTGGTCCCAAGCATTTCAGATGGGGAAACTCCCATCTGTATTAAAACTGGCACTGAAAAACCAAACCAAACTACAATGTCCTAAGAACTGGAGTTGTTATTTAAATCAGTTTGATGTCACTCAAATCAATCCAGGTAAAATGACGACATGAATAAAGTTTTGACGTTGTTGCTGTTGTTTTGTAATCTTCCCTAGTGGAAGAAAAGCGCTCCCACCCTCTTGCGCCTGGCTGTGGGGCAGACCCTGATGGTCAACCAACTCATGGACATGGAATGGAAGTTTGGAGGTAAGTGGTTTTGTCCAGTAAATGTTTTGTGGATTTTGGATGATACTGTACATCTACCCAGTTTTAAAATGCCTCAGCATTTTCATCTTGTTTTGATTTGCTCATAGCTTTAGTATGCTTTTAGGCTGCATCTGCACTGCAGAAATAATCCAGTTTGACACCACTTTAACTGCCATTGCTCAATGCTCTCGAGTCCTGGGATCTGTAGTTTTTTGAGCTCTCTGACAGAAGGCTAGATGGCTCACAAAACTACTAATCCCGGAATTCTATAGCACTCAGCCATGGCAGTTAAAGTGGTGTCAAACTTGATTATTTCTGCAGCACAGATGCAGCCTTAGTTTCTTGGTTATTTTAAATTTTAAATTGTCTGAAATTTTTAAAATGGTTCTTATTTGTATGCTACCAATCTAGGGATGAGGGCCAGTGTGGTGCAATGGTTTGGGAGATGGACTAGGACTCTGGAGACCAGGGTTCAAATCCCGTCTCGGCCATGTAAACCCACGTAAACCTTGGGCAAGTCACACTCTCTCAGCCTCTGAGGAGGACAATGGCAAACCCCACTGAAGAATCTTGCCAAAAAAAACTTGCGATAGGTTAACCTTAGAGTCGTCATAAGTCGGAAACGACTTGAAGGCACACTACAGCAACAACAAAAGTTTAGTCCTAAGAACCCTTATGGTATCTGGGCAAGGGGCATGCCTTCCCTGATACTTTGCCCTCTGCACCTGCCTTATGTATCTCACCACACTTGTCTCCTTCTCTCCCACAGTTACAGCCGGAAGCAGCGAACTGGGGAAAGTAGGCAGCATCTTCTTTCAGGTGAGCCACCCTCTTAACAAGGGAAGAAATCTAGGATGATGCAGCAAGTGGAGATTGTGGCAGGTGTGGGCTTTGGCACAGACTGGGAGAGGACGGCATGTATGTGGCATTCATGCCTGACAAGCAAGGAAATGGCTATCTTAGCCTTATCCAGCCTTCTCAGAATCTCTGGTTTTGATTCCTAAAGCCAAGCTTCCGGTCCTTATGGTAGGAACAGCTCTAGCATTTCTGGGCTGTTGAAACTGGGGAGCTAGCCAGGCTTTGGAGACAATGGGCTCTCCTGAAGTTATCCTTCCCTATGAGTATTTGAAGAGGGAAATAACTGGAAAATGATATAATCATACAGTGGGAAGGGGCAGCAAGGATTATCTAGTCCAGCCCTTGCCATGGAGGGATACACAGCAAAAGCACTCCTGAGAGATTACATCCAACCTCTGTTTAAACACTACCAAAGAAGGAGACTCCACCACTTTCAAGGCAGTGTGTTCATTGTCAAACAGTTCTTATTGTCAGGAAGTTCATTCGAATGCTTAGCCAGGTTTTCTTTTCTTGCAATTTTAATCCACTGCTTCCTATCCTCTGCAGCAGCACAAAACAAGCTTTCTCCATCTTCTGTGTGCCATCTTTTAAGATAGCTATCATGTCTTCCCTTTTCACCAAGTTAAACATATCCAGCTCCCTAAGGCTGCATCTGCACTGTAGAAATTATACAGTTTGACACTGCTTTAACTGCCATTGTTCCATGCTGTGGAATCCTGGGATTTGTAGTTTGTTGTGGCACCAAAGCTCTCTGACAGAGAAGGCTAGCTATAACTTACAAAACTACAAATCCCAGGATTCCATAGCATAGGATTCCAAGAGGTGTCAAACTGCGTTACTTCTGCAGTGCAGATGCAGCCTGTAAGCTAGTGTAACTCTGCATCCACACAATAATCCAGCTTGATACCATTTTAATTGCCCTGACTCAGTGCTATGGAATTCTGGGAATTGTAGTTTTGTGAGACATTTCGCCTTCTCTGTCAGAGCCTTGGTGTGACAACAAACTACAAATCCCAGAATTCCATACCACTGAGCTATAGCAGTTAAAGTAATGTCAAACTGGATTATTTGTGCAGTGTGGATGCAGCCCAAAGCAGCCACTGTATGGTGGTGTAACTTGTGCAATTTTGGGTTTTTTCCCCTCCAAGGCATGTGGGAAATGATTGTTCTACAGGCATGAAAGTTACTTAAAACATGGGAATGCAACGCAGAAAATTCCATGAACATAAATGGGCAGGTTTCACACATTTGCCCTTCTCTGGACACATTTCTTGGCAGATTTCTTCAGAGGGGGTTTACCATTACCATCCTCTGAGGCCGAGAGAGTGTGCCTTGCCCAAGGTCACCTAGTTGGTTTACATGGCCAAGCTGGGATTTGAACCCTGGTCTCCAGAGTCCAAGTCCAACACTCCAACCACACAACCACACTGGCTGTAATGGTTGTTTAGAAGAGGAGATTTCAGCAGGCGATGGTAATTACCTGTTTGTGTGGCAAGCAGCACCTGTTGCAATTCCCTGTTCTGCACAACGATTAAAAATAAATTCTCCAGCTTTCACTCTGGCAACCCTGCTCTCTGACTTCAATTAGAAGGGACTCTTGAATCCACGCCTGCTTTCTGGTTGTTGCATTTGCCAGCATCTGAAATGTTTATGGTGAAAGAATCTGGATTTTCTGTCTGTTTAAGTGAACTCTTTAACTTTGGGGGAGTCCCTTGTCTCTGCTTAAACTGAATACTTTTTACAAACTGATTTCTTTCCAGCTGAAATTAGTGGTTAAGAAAGGAAACCGAATGGAGCCTGTTTACATGGGTAAGTGAATTCTAATTGCAAATAGAATTGTAATTGCACCATCCTGGAGGAGGAGATCATGTCCCCTGGAACCAGCACTCTTTGGCAGAGAAGGCTAAAGACCTTGTAAAACTACAAATCCCAGAATTCCATAGGCTGGAGCTACAGCCCTTAAAGTGGTATAAAATTGTATCATTTCTAGTGTAGATGTACCCTCAGAGATTGAGATTTCATTGTCTAGGCATGTAGGGCATTTTCATAACATTTTTTGCACTTTTAGGCCCAGGGGATGCCTTTTTCTAGAACAGAAAATGAACCAGAAGTGATTTCTGTTCACAAGCTGTTGCTTCTTTTTTTAAAAGGCCTTTCTTAGCCCTAAAATAGCAGAGTGGGGTCCCAAGGGTGCAATTAGGAGCATTTTGGGGGGAAAAAATTCTAGGCCATGGGAGAGGTGCCACCCTCCAAAATCTCCTGGTAAAATTTGCCCCAAAATTGTGCCCAAAGCCCTTCTAAAGCATAGAATCATAGAATTGCAAGAAGCACCCAGAGGCAATCCAGTCCAACCCCTTGCTCAATGCAGGATCTCCAGCTAAATATTGTTGTTGGTGTTATTATATTTATTTATATCCCACCTTTGTCTCAATATGAGGACTAATGAATAAACCCCCCAGAATCTCAGTCTCTTCTCAAATAAATTTGCCTTCCCTCCAGTATAGTGACTAGAAATGTAGTCTCCATTTTGGAGGGGAAACTGGGGGGAAATAAAGTGTTTTGGTACACACAAATATGACCTGCAAAGGAAGGTTGTGCAACTGGAAACTTAGCCTCTGGTCCCTATGCAATTGCCTACCCTGACCTATAGCAAAGACTGTTGCACCTACTGAAATTTTGAATGCTGCAGCAATTTGTATATTTAGTAGGACTCTCAGAAACCAGGGTTCAAATCCCCACTCATCTCTGGAAACCCACCAGAAGACCTTGGACAATTCATACTATCTCAGCCTAAGAATAAGGCAGTGGCAGTCCTCCTCTGCATAAATACTGCCAGTGAGAGCCAGCATGGCATCATGGTTTGAGCATTGGACTAGGACTCTGGGAAACCAGGGTTCAAATCCCTGCTCTGTCATGGAAACCTACTGGGTGACCTCAGGCAAGTCACACTTTCTCAGCCTAAGAAGATGGCAATGGCAAACTCCCTCTGCATAGATATTGTCGGTGAAAGCCAGTGTGGTGTAGTTGTTTGAGCATTGGACTAGGACTCTAGGAGACCAGGGTTTGAATCTTTGCTATCGACTCTTTCAGTGGAATTTTCTTGGCTAGATGTATTATTTGGAAGAGGCTTGCCCTTGCCGTCCTCCGAGGCTGAGAAAGTATGATTTGCCCAAGGTCCCCCAATGAATTTCTGTGGCTGAGCTGGGATTGAGCCCTGGTCCCCTCAGTCTTACTCCAATATTCAAACCATTACACTGTGGTGGCACTCACTGGCAAGATTTGTTCAGAGGAGATTTGCCATTGCCTTCCTCTGAGACTGAGAGAGTGTGATTTGCCCAAGATCACCCAGTGGATTTCCATAGCTGAGCACAGATTCCAGCCCTAGTCTCCTGAAGTCCTAGTCCAACATTTAAACCACCATACCATGCTGGCTCTTGTAAATAAGATTTATTTTGAAGAGGTTAATCATTGCTTTCTGCTGAGGCTGAGACAGTGTGGTTTGCCATAGATCCTGCAATTGGTTCCTAGGGCTGAATGTAGTTTTGAATTCTGATCTCCTAAAGTCCTAGTCCAACACTCAAGCAACCACACTGGCTCTGATTTCTTCAATGGAGGACATTTGCCATTGCTTTTTTGTGTTTTTTTCGGGCTGTGTGGCCATGTTCTAGAAGAGTTTCTTCCTGATGTTTCACCAGCATCTGTGACTGGCATAATTTCTCTGAAGGTGCCAGCCACAGATGCTGGCAAAACGTCAGAAAGAAACTCTTTTAGAACATGGCCACACAGCCCGAAAAACCCACAAAAGACTATGGATGCCGGCCATGAAAGCCTACGACTTCACATTTGCCATTGCTTTTCTTTGAGGCTGAGAGAGTGTGACTTGCCCAAAGTGCCCCAGTGGATGTTTTTGGTTGAGCAAGGATTTGAGACCTGGTTTCTTGGACTCTTAATCCAACACATACCAATACACATGATATCTCTCTCTTTAACTTGCTGAATGGAAATGTATGCTTCTTGTTTTGTTAGTCGTGGATGATAGAGAGTTTGGTGGTAATGGTGGTGATGATCCTGTTTTCCTCCCATTAGAGCTGACGCTGCCTCAGTTTTACAGCTTCCTTCATGAGATGGAAAGGATGAAAACCAGCCTGGAATGCCTCAGCTAATTCTGCCATTGTAACTGCTGCTTAAATTGGAGAAAAATTTCATAGGGACCAGAGGGAACCAGACAAGAATTTTAATTCCAGAAATGCAATCAAATCATCTCAGTCTAGCCCTCTTCTCTTCTGAAAACAGAGAGAGGCAAGTTGTTTTGTAAAACCTGGGGTAAAAAAAGATCATCTGTGTTGCTGGCTATGTAAAAGGTTTTTTGGGACTTGGAAAAGACTAACGTTGGACAAGAATTTGGGAAGTGAAAATAAATTGGGGAAAAATGAAATGTTGGTCTTTCTTGAAACAAGACTTTTAAGCAGTACTAAAGTTGTTTCTGACTTATGGTGATCCTTATTACAGGGTTTTCTTTGCTCTGAGTGGGGTTGCCTCTGAGGCTGAGAGAGTATGACTTGCCCAAGATCACCCAGTGGGTTTCCATGGCCGGATGGATATTTGAAGCCTGGTCTCCAGAGTAATAGTCCAGTGCTGAAACTATTGCACTATGCTGGCTCTCAAAAACTAAATCTATAGTTGTGTGCCTTCAAGTCATTTCTGACTTACTGCAGCCTTAACACACAAGTTCCTTGACAAGATTTTTTTTCAGAGGGGGTTTGCCTTTGCCTTCCTCTGATGCTGAGAGAGTGTGACTTGCCCAAGGTCACTCAATGGGTTTCCTTGGTCAGGTGGGGAATCATAGAATCATAGAGTTGGAAGAGACCACAAGGGCCATCCAGTCCAACCCCATTCTGCCATGCAGGAAATCACAATCAAAGCACCCCCGACAGATGGCCATCCAGCCTCTGTTTAAAGAACGCCAAGGAAGAAGGCTCCACCAGCCTCCAAGAAAGTGTTCCTCCAAGGAAGTATTGAACAGCTTTCACTGTCAGGAAGTTCTTGCTAATGTTGAGCTGGAATCTCTTTTCCTGTAGCTTGCATCCATTGTTCCGTGTTCTATTCTCTGAAGTAGCAGAAAAGAAGCTTGCTCCATCCTCAATATGACATCCCTTCAAATACTTATATAAGGCTATCATATCACCTCTTAACCGTCTCTTTTCTAGACTAAAAATACCCAGCTCCCTAAGTCTTTCCTCATAAGGCATGATTTCCACCCTTCACCATTTTGGCCACCCTCCTCTCAGTGGTCCCCAAACTCTGCCCTTTAAGAGATTTTGGACTTCAGCTCCCAGAAGCCTCAGCTATATTGGCCAATAGTCTGGGATTCTGGAAGGTGAAGTCCAAAACCTCTCAAAGGACACAGTTTGGGGACCACTGCAATTTGTCAACATCCTTTTTGAAATGTGGTGCCCAAAACTGAACACAGTATTTCAGGTGAGGCCTGACCAAAGCACTATGACTTCCCTTGATCTAGACACTATACTTCTATTGATGCAGCCTAAAATCTTTCCAGAGTCCAATGCTTAAACCACTACACACATGCTGGCTTTCTGATGCAGCCCTTCAAATAGTCTGGATGTAGGAATGGAAACTTCCCCTTTATGTTCATTGAATTTCTGTTACATCCCCTTGTTTTAAATAACTTTTGCGCCTGCAGCACATTTACTTCCCCTTCCCTTGGAGGGGGGGAAAACCCAGGTTAAACAAATCTCACCACCTTATAATGGCTTTCTAGGGCATGCTGGAGGAAGAGATGTGCTTTGGGAAGAATAGCTTTGCCTAGCACCTGGCACTATCGTAATCTCATTTAGCCACAAGTAAAAAAGGCGAAATTATTCGTTCTTGCTTGCCAGAGCTTAAGAAACATTGGTTTGTAGCAAGCTCACAAGGAAACTTAAAGTAAGTCACCCCTCCATTTTTGCAGAAGTCTGTGACCCTCACCCATTTGCAGGCGGCAAACAGAGGGGGAGAAAATGGGGCGCACGCCCATGGGCACCCATGGGCACACGCCACCATTCAAGCCTATGGGGCTTGAATATTTGCAATTTTTCATTTTCATGGGGGTGAGGTTCCGGAACAGATGCCCCGCAAAAACGGAGGGACAACTGTATAAAATGGCATTTTAAAAAAAAGATAAAAACAGCCTGATGAAAAGATTTCTAACCCTCAAAAATAAAATACATCCAGAATTCAGTTGTAAAAAGGAAAGGAAAAATAAAATCAGCCCTTTTTCTTGTAAAGAATTTCCAAGGACTCTCCCAAGTCCCCACAAGAAGGGGAAGGTGGTTTGCTTTCTAGCAGGATTGAAACTTTTCAGCAGGACTGAAGGAGTTAATCTACTGGTGGGTGAATGAGAGCATTAGCTCCCCCCAATGAGAATTTGGCCCC